GCAGCAGCAGCAGCAACAACAGCAGTCGTGACAGTAACAGCAGCAACAACAGCAGCAGCAGCAACCACGACAAAACAGCTATCGAAGCGACTACACGCACGGACGCACGCACGCACGCACGCACGCATGCACGCACACACGCACGCATGTTCAGTTTATTGGCCGTCATTCATGTGAGTCAGCGATTGGAGTGGCCGTGAAATTTATAATGGAATAATTTCTTTGATTTATTGCCCGAATAGAAGTTGTCGGCATACAGCGTGAAGCAGACGATGGCGGAGATTACACACACACACACACGCACGCACACACACACACACACACACACACACACACACACACACACACACACACACACACACGTTTGCTACAAGTCACGTAGCCTTAACATAGGCTTTTACCATTCCCCCATTATCTCTCTGTAGCCAATTGTCGTATGCGTCTGCGCACTTCAATGGCGGCACTTCCAGCGCGGTTCGCACCGCTAAACGCAGACGAAAAACGCGTAAATGAAAAACGCCGACAAAAAACGCAGACGTAACAACGCGTAGACGAAAACGCGTTAAATCGCACAAAAAGCAAAGAAACGAAGTAAAGCGAGCGTTCGCGTGTGTCGCCATTTATCGAATTTGAGTGCGTGCGAGGCGGGTTAAGATCTCGTGTCGGTTACATTTAAAGACGCAGACGCCATTAGAGCCATGCACCTGCTGCTTGCGGGAGGGATCATGTCAGTCCGCCTACGCTACATCAAGAGTAGATAATAAAACCATATATACTTTGATATATAACCATGGTTTTATTATCTACTCTTGGCTACATCTATGTATAAACACCTTATATATGTAATATGTATATGCGCCTGTATACATACATATTTCGCTCTCTCTCTCTCTCTCTCTCTCTCTGTCTCTCTAATTCTCCCTCTCTCTTTCATTCTTTCTCATTCTCTCCCCCTGTCTCTCTCCTTCTCTCATCTCCCTGACCGCGAGACAATGAACGGCGTTAACAAATGCGCTGCACGCGCCGTTGCCATAGTTATTGTGACGTCGCGTCTCTCCCGCGCAGGCGTCGAAACTTTAGAGAGTGAGAAACTCACACACGGCAGTAGCAGCAGCAGCAGCAGCAGCAGCAGCAGCAGCAGTAGCAGCAGCAGTAGCAGCAGCAGCAGTAGCAGCAGCAGCAGTAACAGCGATAACATTTCTTAACATCGCCATCGCACATTAGAGCACGTGGAATTAGAGAGAAAGCCATCGAACTACGACCACCATGTTGCTCCGTCAATCCACGGATTAGTGTGACGGGAATGTTCGCCTGAAGGTTCCGAGCATGTATGCTGCAGCCGAGAATCCGGCGAGGTGCGCGTGCGCATGCGCGAGGTCGTACCTCACGACGCTGTAAAAAACGTCGCGAGAAAACTGCCTGTGTTTTTTTGTATTTTTATTTAAAAAAACTGCCGTGTCGATTTCGAAGATACACGACATCGAGTTTTACGGGAGCAGCATGTCAACGCGTACGTGGTGGGCACAGTCTACGTACATCCATCCCTCCCTCTCCTTCCCCTCCCCCTCCTCCTTCTCTTGGTTTCTTCGTTTTGTCTCTGATTTTACGCGACGCCAACTGGCGGTGTTTTTCATGTTCGGATTAAAACTCTTTATGACCGACGAATGTGTTTATATTTTTATTCGAAAAATTTCCTCGGAAATTATGAGCGAAAACGCGTAACAAATGCGCCCGAGTACATATTTTTGCCGCCGCCGGCGAAATAATTATTACTGTGTAGAACCTATAGAAGTGATCATGAAGTATAGAACGCGAGCGTGTGAATGGGGGGTGGGGTAAGGGAATCGATGTGCGACATTCAAGCCTGCAATCAGTGGCGGGATCCGTCATTGAATAATCTATTAGGCACACACACACACACGCACACACACACGCACACACACACACACATCGATGCTATAACCGTTGACTTACTAATGAAGCTGTTTGTATATACATGAATGGATGAATAAATAAATAATATTTACAGAGCGAGTGTGGGTGACACGCGCACGCGAGAAAGGGACAGAGAGAAAGAGAAATAGAGAGAGGAGAAGAGAAAGAGAGAAGGAAAGAGAGAGAGGGAAAGAGAGAGAGAGAGGGGGGGGGAGAAAAAGAGTGAGACAGACAGAGATGGAGAGAAAGATACAGAAAGAAATGGAGTGTTAGACTGTTAGTGAGAGAGAATGAGAAAGGTGAGCGCGAGCGAGAGAGAAAGAACGAGAGAGAGAGGAAGAGAAAGAGAGAGAGAGAGAGAGAGAGAGAGAGAGGGGGGGAGAAAGGCGGTTATAAATTATATAGGCCATGTAATACTTGACTGGCAGCCTGACTAGAAACTCCGGTAATATTTCAATCAACGGCTCAGCCTGGATTTCCTCTATCGACAGGCACGCCACCTGGTAGCGCGTGCGCAGACGACACTACCGCGGGTCCCGGATGTAAATAATTACGTACTTCTAGCGCTCGCCAGGCGAGGTTTTTTTTATTGGTGATAGAGTGCATTATTCGTGATAGAATGCATTATTTGCATAGAATGTAATAGTAATTTCCTGACAGAAGGTTTCGTGGATGCCGATAACATCGGTGCAATGTTGACGGTGGCGCACCTACCTCGTTTTCGATCTCCTGTTCATTATAATTAATTGGACTATTTCATATTAGGACTAATTCATGGTTGCACTTTGATAGATTAAGAAAGAAGGAATATAAACGGGGGCGCGTTTGCCCTCATACAATCAGGGAGAGGTGTGAGGCGGAGGGGTATTTCTCCCCCACCTGCGCATCCGGGGGTGTGCTGCGTCAACAGAAATTAGACCTGTTCACGTGTTGTTGAGAATGAAAGCACCATAACGACTCTAGTTATTTTACACTTAATAAGCCTTTCCTAACGTATCATATCTTATCGGATAGAAAATTGATATAAATATATACATATACCTATATATAAATATATATATATATATATATATATTTATATAATGTCCATATACAAGTCTATACTACTATATGTCGGAGCGGTTTTAATTTCGTATAGATGGCGGTATATCAGCTATCAGCAGAGGGCGGCTATATGATTTTATCGGGACACGCCTTGTAGTACGTTAGTGCATTAACTCTAGTACTATAAGCATCGTTGCCGCAGGCGGTGGCATTAGCAGCAAGAGTTACAGCCACTCTAGAGGCAGTTCAGCTGTGGAGGCGACAAGACGAGAAGCCTATACTGTACTTTAATTCTCTTTGCGGTGTCTTTTCTTTTTACGGAGGCAGGCGCCCAGGCGACAGTCCTGCATCTCCTTTGGCTTTGCAATGACATTTCTCTTTACGGAAGCGTCCAGGAGACAAACCTACTGCGTAGACTACCTCTCCTTTCTCTTTGCGGTGTACCTTCTCTACGCGGAGGAGCCTAAGAGTCAGGCCTAGCTGTCCTTTCTCTTTGCGGTGTACATGTCCGTTCTCTTTGCGGAGGCGTCCAGGAGACAGATCTAGCTGTCCTTCCTCTTAATCATCGCATAATGCGTGAGGTTAAACTTCCCCGAGGCAACATCCCCTCTCTCCAGAGTCCCCGTCATCGTGTACCCGAGCTGAAAATCCTCGTCCGACACCTTCGAGGTCAGACACAACAGAAAATCCGGTTCGTCCGTCTTCCCCCGGAAGCGACCCCGGATGTACATCATCCCGTGTCCGTTGTCGTACACCTTCGCGCGGGTTTTCGTCCGTCGATTCCCGCACACTTCCACGATCTTACATCGGTTGCGGTTCCACCAGGGCGTCTTTAGCAACCAGTAGGCGTTCTGATGCGAGCTGACGTAGCCCTCGTCCGGGTAGAGAAGCACTTTGCTCGGAGTTCCGACGTAGTTGAGAATCTTACGGCAGCACTTGCCGTGATTCTCATAGTAGAAGATCTGCACCATGTTTCTGGCGTGCATGCGTCAGAGAGGGAAGAACGGAGAGAGATTCTCTCTCGTTCATAAATGTGAAATTGTACTTATTCTGTGTACGTTCATGTATCACGTATGTATGTGTATATCTATATATATCTCTCTATATATATCTAT